CTTCCTTCCTTCCTTCCTTCCTTCCTTCCTTTCTTTCTTTCTTTCTTTCTTTCTTTCTTTCTTTCTTTCTTTCTTTCTCTTTGACAAAGTGCAGTGGGAGAATGAAGGCAGAAGAACATAGGCAGCTAGTTTATGTAGCAAGAGAAAGAGATCATAAAAGCCAAGTTACAGGTAGTCCTCATTTAGCAACCACAATTGGGACCGGTGACTCGGTCATTAGGCGAAGCAGTGGCTCAGTGAAAATCACATGACCACAACTGAGCTTACTATTTTACGTCAGCTTTTCTTTGCTTTAGAGCATCCGAAGGATATGATGCCGAACAGTCAGGTGAGCCCAAACAGTGGAACTTGATTCACGAGGAAGCCGAGTAAAAGGGCAAATCTGACAGCCCTTTTCACCCACTCCCCCACCCTTTGGAATGCTCACCCCGATGCTGGGATAATTAGCAAGAAGAGAATTAATGTTTGTATTTGCATTCATTGGAGAGGGAGGGATTACAAGAGAGTAAGCAGGCACACAATGAGGAATACACATTGAAAAGAATACACTGCCTCCAGCTGTTTGCCTAGCGTGTTCATGGCTCTAAGCCGTGAGCCGCTTAGGAGGCAAACAAAAGCTGAAGGTGTGAAATGGATCAGGGTCTTGTCAGTGTCAGGCAGCAGCGCCAGACAGTGGAGGGTTCTAATCAACTAATTAATTAATCAACTAATTAAAGTCACAGAGCTGAGCTTGTTGACTTGCGGTTAGCACTTTTTAGGGAAGCTCTTCCCTGTGAGAAAAGCAACTCAGGAAGAGAGAGCTTGTTTAGACAATCTCTCCACTCTGTGGGGGGGTGAAAGATGGGCCAGGCACAGGACAACGCTTAATAGCGAACACATGACTGAGGGATGCTGCAAAGATCGTAAATGCAAGGATTGGTCACGAAGTTAGCTTTTCATCACTGTCGTAACTGCGAACAGTCACTGTCCAAGGCAGTTGCTAAACGAGGACTACCTGTATATCGTGTATGTGTAGTGGGGGAAATAACCAAAACCAAAATGTCCTCTGGAATTCTTGCACAGATCATTTTTGTGTAGAGGCCACAGTCCATGTGGCAACTGTTTACACTGAGTTAGATGCCAACAGAGTCGCACGTAGGATTGACCATTGCTGCCGTGGAACTGAAGTGATTCTTCAGTTCACACATATCCTTAACCCCATCAGCCACTAACCCTGTCAAGTTTCTTTATCAATGAATAGGCAGCACATGTAATGGATGTGGGAATGACCTTGGGAGACAGGTGAATAGATGATCCTAGGGAACGGTCAGATAAGAGACAGCATAGCCCACAGCTGGATAATGGGCAGGGCAAGAGGCTCAGAAGGGGCCCTCCCTAATTTCTCGGGCTGTAAAGGAGACGGTGGGAGAACTGTACTTTCAGACCTGCAAGACTCTATTCATGTAGCTTTACAGTAAAGTAGAATTAGCTTATCTGATCATGTTTCCTGTCTGGGCTACCTGCTGAGGCTGACAGCACACAAGCATACTAAATGGATCAGAAGTCACTTATTTGGGAATATAAAGCCTCCATTACAATTTCTTTAGGAGCTTTCTGGAATCTTTGTACCCTTGTATCAAAACTTCCTTATATCACTTCTTTCTTCCTCATTGGCCAGACTGGCAAGAGGGGATGTACCTTGAGAACTGCAGCCCATCATTAAGTGGGAAGTGTCTTCTGTGCTTCTAGGCCTTAACTATGAGCTCTATATTAGAGAGACTTACTTTTTCGATTGTTCTCCCTTTCCAGTCTTATTTTCTTGGAGAACCATTCCCATGACCCAGTTCACTTGGTGGAATTCGTTGAACTCTATCCACCATGTGTCTGGTTTGGCTAACCCAACTGGAGTTAGTGGACTGGTCCAATTGACCTTTGCTGGAGTTCTCAAGACAGACTTAACATCCCACTCTTGCATTCATGTCTCCCTAATCTCAAATCACAATGGTTTCTGTGTTGTTGGACTGCATAGGGTACGTTCAGAGCTACCACATGTGAATGACTGAAAAATATTTATGTAGTTGCAGTCTAAAGCAGCTTATCTGCTGCCTATTAGGCTGTTCAAGGAGATATGGACCCTTGTCCATTTGCAGCCTGTTCTAGATCAAAAGAAGGGCCATGCCACTTTGAAATGAGCTGAATCACATGCCTTTGCTTCATCTTTTTGATCTTGGTGTGAATCATTATGGAAGCGTATGAGGCCACTCTGGCTTCTTCTAAACTGCAGAAGTTGATTTCAGCCACATCTCAGCGAAAACAGCAAACAGCATCTGGGCAAAAAGAAGTACATTTGAGGCACAGAGACAAAATAAGTTGTGCAGAGTTTGCACTGAAATTAACTTGTCAAACTAAGTCTGAAAGGCCTCAGGTGTGCAGGGGAGTCACACAGCACAGAGATGCCAGGACTGTATCTGCAAAAAAGCCTCAACGATGTCCAGGTATTTAAGCATCTATTAATTTTCATCAGTCTTCCAGATGAAATGGCAATTGGCAATAACATTTCATCCCTTGTGGCAGCCCGCCACCCCTCCCCATTCCAGCAATGAATTTAAAATCCTAAAGATATTGCATCATTTAATTTTTATTCTAGGCTGCCTACCCTCAAAAACAGAAACCATTGAGTGTTTTAATAATTAGAGGATTGGATTCCCTATGTGTTAGGACCTGTCACATTTGCAGGCATGTGCTATGCTGGAAAAGCTATGTTGGATCACTGCCATGTTTGATCAATCTCATTGATCTACCAACTCCCCATAACTTTTGCCGTTGGCCTGCTGGAAAGAGCTTCTGAAAGTCATAGTACAACCATATCTGGAGGCCACAGGCTTTTCAAGTGCATTTTATGCTATGTGAAGGAAAAACATTGCAGGTCTCTAAGCTTCAAAGGGGCCACGCCAAGCACAGAAAGGATGGAAAGTTCTGATGGTCTCGCATAGCTCCATTTCAATGGAAATTCACTAGGAGGACTACATAATAAACTACATCCCATCTTAATCAAATTTTGAGTTCAGTCTGTAACACTAGAGGGAAAAGGGCAAGTGTGCTTCCCAGCTTAATTAACAGGGGAGAGGAAATCAGGGTTGGATTTCAGGTATCAAGATTTCTTGCAATCTGCCTGCAGAGAATATTTGTGGAGGACTGTATTGGAGATGGGGGTGGGGAGACAGAGAGATAGTAGTCAAATATGAAATGTCATTTTCCCAACTGGGCCAAATTAAGCAATTTGGAGCCTTCCGCGTGTTTGCTATAGATTGACTCTAGACTCACTCCTATTTGGAGTAGATTTAATGAGAGCCAACAGAGAAATGAATCATGATGAAGTCTTGCTGATGCTATTAGGACTACTGTAAATGCAGCTAAAGGCTCTCTTGATGCATTCTGAAGATGAAACGGTTGGGGCAGAGGCTGACCCCCCCATTGCCTTATGCTTGCTCATTTCAGTGTTCATCCTCCCGTGCTGAGTAGGTCTGAAGGTGAGTTATTCTTCCATTTGCTAGAAAATTACTTCATAACTTACATAACTAGGGAATTGTTTCCTGGTTCTAGTCCAAAGATAGGAGACTTGGACTACAGTTATAGCCAAACTACAGCTCAACTTTCCTCGTTTCCCCACCCCAACATTAATCTGACAGCTGAAGCATTTCACAAACTGGGTATGATTGAAATTAATAACTGACTACATTTAAAGTGCAACTAATTTATCTAAACTGAAGCCTCTGTGTGTGTGTGTATTGTGCACCCTAGGTCAACAAGCTTTCACTGAAGCATTCTATTCCTCTTTATGCCCATTCGATTGAAATTAATGAATGAAAGCATAAATACTTGATCATTCAGAATATTACTAGTATTTCGTAATCCTTTTTAATCAGTTGATCCTCCGTGGGGAAAGCTGTACTTGGAAAGATTAAACTCTGGTACTTTCTATAGTATACATTTAAGGGAAAAAGTTTAATATTCCTTAATTTCGCAAAACTAAATTACGGTTGGTGACAGAATGTACTTCTTTTCTTAGCAGCTTATTATGACAGACCTATGATTCTACAGCCATTTTCTGAATTGTTTTAAAACAGTCCACAGCTAAAATCAGCTAATAATTCACAGAAGATAATTTACTTGACAAATTTTTGCTGTTTCTTTGTTGGCAGGAGGGCAGAGAAAATCACAATTCTGTCCTCTCAACTTTTTCTTTTCTTTTTTTATCTAACCCAGTTTATCTCTTTGTCTTCCAAAGTGAAGCTATCTTGGTTGGTTTTCAATTTGGTACAAAGGTCACATCATTTTTCTTTCTCGCTCTGGTAGCATTGCTAACTTTCCTTTTTATGGATGTTTGGCTGTGTGATAGAACTGTATTGTAAGTCCTCAAGGAAGGGTGAAGAAATATCAGCCTCCAGGTTTTTCTCAGTGGGAAACTAGCCGGGAATCTGTCTGTCTGTCCTCTTTTCTCCCTGTCCTAACATCTAGATCGGCCCCTAAGTTGTTTGTGTCTATGAGCCTGTTTGTGGGCATGTCCTGTGTATCTGGAATTTGATGGACCCCTGCGGGAATCTCCATAGAGTAGTGGATGGTGGCCATGATGGTCTGCTCAAAGCTCTGGCTGTTTTTAATGTGAGTCGCAAACACACAAGTAACATATCATTTACAACTTATTGAAAGAGCAAGAGAAAAGAGACAGATCCTTACATGATTATCAGCCTACAAAGCTCAAAGACAGCTCAAAGGAAAAGGGGAAAGGAAGAAAAAGAAACAATCATGTATCTGATCTTAATATCTACAGATCTTACAGCAACTAGTTGTAATGCAGATTTGGACAATATAACCAGGTAGTTTGAGCACAGCCAACTGGCATGGAAAAACTCAGTGAGAGGGACCCTCAGATTCCTGTTTTATTAGCTAAGGTGATGGCACAACCCTGATTCTTTTCCCTCCTCTGCTGCAGCCTGCAGAGTGGTGCAACCAAATGGAGTTGGTTTCTCAGGAAGGGTGATGATGGTCCTCCTTTCCTTCTTTAAGTCATGTTGATATGGAAGGTGTGAAGTGACTATACTGGTTCAACCATGGCTACAGTCCTCTGTACTGCTGAGATCCTTGATTGTAGGGAAACTAACTGGAGGTCATCTGTTCTCATCTCAAACATTTCATCTATTCATATGAGTGTGACATCACACTGCAAATACAAAAGGGTGGGTCTTTGTTGTGACATCAAAACACTTGCTTCATCATTTTGGCTTTCTCATGATTAGCAACAGATGTCTCTGCAAGCTTCAGAGCTACCCTAATTATTCCCATGGTTTGAAGGAATCCAAGAATAGAATTCAAATCCTTTGCTGTTACATTTTTCTTGTTTTCTGGACTTTTTTTTTTTTTTTTTACTTAAATGGATGTTTTATGGTAATTATGGATGTTTTCTTCTCTAGCATTAAATCTTTATGAATAATTGTTTTGGAGCATGGGTAATTTAATGTAAATTGCTTAGTCATAAGTGAGCAACCAAATAAATATGCCGTTCAGATCAGAGGAGGAATGAAAAATGCTATTATCTTTAAACTTGCCATCTGCTTCCTAATAAACACCTGTTATTGCCCATCACTTAGGTCTGTAAGAACTCCTGACATTTAAAGCTGGTCTATCGTTTTGCCATGGTGACAAGCAAAGAATATACTATCCCAAACAGAAGATCACCTTTGACTCTTACGATTCCTTCTTCTCCAAAGCCTCGGTCGCTTCAGAATTGGCACTTCTGCGACTTCACCCCGTGGTCCTCCCAGCTGCACAACTGCATTTGACAAAAGTGCTCCAGCCTCATTCTGGCTTAACAATGAACTCCTTCCTCAAGATCGTTGGATGAGATGACCTCTTGTTGAAAAAGAGAGCCAAAAAAAAAAGCCACCACACGATCAAAACTTGATCTTCTGGGAGCCAAATTATACGATGACTCTGTTTCCCCCACCTTTCTGTCGACTTGTTGCTATTGAACTGTTTTAAAAAAATTGTCTGTGGGTTAGTATTTGTATATGTATGAGTGTATGTATATGTATATATATATATTTATAGAGAGAAAAGAGATATACAATAGGATTAGCTTTTGTATGGCATTCACATTAGGCTTGGGGTCAGTGGGGCAGAGAAACATGGAAGCGTGGCATTGTGTTACCACCAGTAGCTACACACAGCGTTTATGCTGCATATACAGTAGAAGAACCAAAAGGAGAGAGCGTATGACAAGAGGGTTGTGTGAAGCAGCTGATTCAATAGCGTCCCTTAAAAGAAAAAGAGAAAAAAATCCCCTTATGTTTTATAGTGTAGGATACCATCACTTCCTTTGGCTCTGCATTTCATTCACAAGGATTAGACTCAATCGTCTTGCCCAGCTCAAACAGTATTGGGGAACATCTTCCATCGGGTGGCATGCTGTCAAGATAAACTTTTACAGGAAAATAAAATTTCAAAAATTCTGCCCTGCACACCCTTTAGAGATTATTTCTTCTTCTTCTTCTTCTTCTTCTTCTTCTTCTTCTTCTTCT